TATACTAATACATATATTATATATGATATATAAAAAATAAACTCTTAAACAGCACTGACTTGGTGGCTGTCACAATGCTAAGTGCCTTAAAAAAATACTAACTTTTATTCACCTCAATCTTTTGAGGCATGTACTTCTGTTTTAAAGTGAGGAAACTGAGACAAAGAAGGATTAAGTGACTTGGCCATGGTAACAAAGTTAGAAGGAGTAGAGCAGAAGACACTTGGAAAAATGGATGGAAGGCTAGGTGGGTGGATGAGTGGATGGGTTGGTGGATGAATGGGTATGTGGATGAATGTATGGATGGATGGATGGATGGCGAGGTGGGTGGTTGAGTGGGTGGATGGATGAGTGGACAGGTAGATGGGTGGGTTGATGAGTGGACGGGTTAGGGGATGGATGGGTAGGCAGATGAGTGTATAGGTGGGTAGATGGATAGATGGTTAGGTGGGTGGATGGATGAGTGGACAGGTAGATGGGTTGGTGGATGAGTGGACAGGTTGGTGGATGGATGGATGAGTGGATGAGTAGATGGGTGGGTTGATGAGTATAAGAGTAGATGGAGGGATGGATGGATGAGTGTATGGGTGAATGGTTGGATGGATGGATTCATGCATGAGCGGGTAGATGGCTGGACAGGTGGTTGGGAAATGGCTAGATGAGTGCATCACTGGTCTTGACACTGGTTCATGAGACTGATCTTTTTTATTAGTTATAGAAACTGAAGACATTGAAATACAAAGGAAAAGGGTATTAAAGGGTGAACACTGTCACCATCATCTCTACCATTTCATAACTGTATAAACTCCCAGATCTCCTCTCTTTTCAACATTTTGGCACCCCTTTATGGTCTTAGATGTTCTGATTTATCAGTACAAGTGAACTAACCAGATACGACAATTATACACGCACATGTATGCATATATATATGCCACATATAGTTCATATATATCAAATGTGATCTTACATCTACATGTATCTACATGTACGAGTCTATCACATCAAGAAACAATGCTTGTTTTCTAAACATATCTGCAAATAGTGTTTAGAATTTAGCTCTAAAACTTGTGAGCTGCGTTTAGTCTGGGTGTAAATTGTATCATTACTTCACAGAGTAATTCAGTGATCCCCAGTTTAGGATTGCAGAACCCTGAAAACTAGTCTCATGTCTACTAATTAAGTTTCTCCCCACAGAGGAAGTGGGTCAGTATCTACCCCCATGGGTATAGGATACCTGAAGGTCTTTGAGATCTATTAGGAAATCTTGATTTTTTTTCTGGTTGGAGATGACCTTTCCCCCAGCTCACTGAATTATATGAGATTATAATGGCCATTTGCAGTTCTGGTGATACTTGGTTCATTTAAATATTAATGAACATGAATCTGACCCCTTCTGGTTGGGTGATGATAGCCATATTTATAAAATTTAGTACTGGATGGATACTTTATTTCATAATTTAGTCATTGTAAAACCATGTCACTACCATCTTTCCACTTTACCATGTAAATCAATGTTACAGAATCCTGCAGTTTTAGAGTTAAAAGGAAATTTAGATTTTACTTCCTCCAAACTACCTTTAAGGAGGTTAGTCCACAAGAATATCTCTGAAATACCAACCTCTAGGGTTCCTTCGAGTGTGTCCTGTGACAAAGAGCTCATTGTGTAAAAGTGGAGTCCAACAGGACATTTCTAAACACAGGGTCCACCTGCCCAAGTGCAAGCCCAGTCTTCACCATGTACGTGCATGCTGTGTGAGACTACATGAGCTGTCTGGGCCTCAGTTTCCTCTTCTGAAATAGAGGAGATTTGTCTTCTGTTGGATGTGAAAGGATTTAATGGAAATATATCTAAGGATTTCATCATTTTCACGATCGTTACCACCATTATCAATGTTGTTAAATTCACAGTATGGTCAGATCCTATTTCAGACGTTAGCTAATGTTATTCAGACAAGACAGGAAAGGTACAGACACGATTCAAGAATATATTCCTTGATGCTAAAGTCTTCCCCCTCTTTGCTTCCTTAGGAAACGGCTCAAAGAACTCATGCAAGTGGAACTTACAGCTTCCTTGATCGGACTCCGCGTTCAGTAAGTGTGACCCATTTTGAGCATTCATTACATAAATACATCCATTTCTTTGATCGGGTGTCTCTGTGAAAAGCTCTTGTCTGAAGGTCTGAAGTTTCCATAAAATCTTTGCTGCCTGCCCGCATCTTTCTTTTCTGCGCTACTGCCTTTAGGGTTTGCTAGGTAGAAACACCCTCCCCAGCTTACCTCTGACCCCCTCCTCCCCCCCAAAAATGATCCTGGGAAATGTGAGAGATTATCAGTGAGTGAACCCCACTTTCATTAGCTGAGGGTTAAAATAAAATGTGCTTTTGTTTTCTTCTGCTGTGAGAGTTTCTCATCAGGAGACATTCTGTCCCCCTTCACGTCCCCTAGTCACAAGACCCTGCAGAATAGAAAGCCGCCAACACTGATGGGCCAGTGAGAGCGCGTGTTTCTTGAGGCATTTAAGAACAATTCATTTTGCTCTTTTTGAGCCACAGTACGTGACTACTATATAAAAATTACTTCCAGAAAGAAATTCTGTACGTTAAAGATGCTGGGATATGTTTTAGAAATTTCATTTGTTTTCAGCAAGTAAGCACTTTCCACCGTCTGCCTTTCTGGTTGCATGCAAAGACTTTATTTTTGGTGAAGTTAGCATATTTTGTCCAATTTTCCCAACTCTCTCTCTCCTTAATATATACACACTAGCATTTCACGCAGCACCTTCACAGAGTCTCTGATGTCAGCTCTTCTCTGAAATAGTTCCATCAGTGAACGTGTTTTAGGAATAAATCTGTAATCATTTAACAATAAATACGAACATTTTAAAAGACTAGCTGCAAGAAATATTTATGTTTCAAGATGGAGCCTCTTTTCCTCGGAATTCAGAATTACGTAGTGTGTTCTACGGAGAGTGCAGAAGTCTAATTTGATGCATCAAATAGCTGTCCTCCTTATAAAAAGAACAGGTGGAATAGGCCTCAGCATTCCAGGCCTGAGAGATGCTGATCAAAGAAAATTCTTCTGCCCTTAGTGGGACTGCATGACTCCCTGTTATAGCTGTAGAATTTGCATATATGACTAGAGAGGAGGAGGAGGTGGGGATAGAAGAAGCTAAAAAGACGGTGTATTAGCTGCGAGCTACATCAGAATGACTTAGCGTAACCCTGATCAGCCAACGCTTGTATCACAAGGGAGATTAGACTCATGGCTTTTGTTCCTAATAATAAAGGAAATTCCGTCGCTAATTCCCTACATGCCACGTGAATCTTTTCATGCCTTTGAAGTTTGGGCTACGGCATTTCCTGAAAACTGGGAGGTTTCGTAAGTAAAAAGGAGAAGGCTGTCTGGCGTGAAGTCTGTTCACATCTATCTGGTGTAAAGTTAATATGCTTGTTAATTTATCTTTTTCTGGTTCAGGCAGCTTCCTTCTCCTAGATGTCTTTGTGGTGCTGGTGTAGGCAGGGGAGGGAGGGAGGAAGGGAGGTTTGGAGGATGGGCTTTCTGACCATCTATGACCCTCCCACCCCTCTGCCTTCTGAACATGATACAAATTACTGCTGCTCAGGAAGAAATTCATGTTCCATCTCTGCACTGGGGCTGAAGCTTCTAACCTAGGGGAAGCTCTGGTCCCTGAGATAATTAGTACAGTGTTGCAAGGGAGCTCGTGTTAATTTGTATATGGATATGGTATTTCCATATCTACAACTGTAGTCTAAAGAGAGAGAGAAAAAAAATATTAATTTGCTGCTCCAGACCAGCAAGAAGATAAGATAATTAAAAAAAAAATTATTAGAAAGGAAACAAGTGGAAAATGTCTCATTTGGGGAGGATTAGGGTTGCTGTCCAGTCTCTATGTGCTTAGCAGGGATCTGTGCCTTCCTGTGTCTGTGACTTCCCTGGTAGATGAAGCTCAGCCAACTTCTGGATTGTCAAGAGTTTCCCTGCCCTGGAGGAAGGTGGCGTCCTGGGAGGTTCCCTGGTTACCCGGAAGGCACCGGGCATCTCAGTCAGCCATATGTCTGTGCCTGTGTGTTCTTCACCCATAACACATAGGGTATAGGCTTCTGGAGAAAACCCCAGTCCCTTACAGAGATTTCCACAGGAGCAATGACTTACTGGCTGGATTTCCTCCTTGTGCCTGACTGATGTTGTGGCAAATGCCTTCCTATGGTCTGAATCAGTGTTTTGATGTTTCCATTGGCTTCAGAAAAATCGGTGTTCCATTTATCACTTCCAAAGTTCGATTACCTTTCATTGTTTAATTTTTTCCCCAGAATGTTCTGTCTGCACTGGGACGCGTTGGACACAGATTGGCCAGTGTATGTGGTATAGACAGGGAGCTCACAGGAGTAGGCATCTATTTTCTAGCTCTGCAAGCCCCTCTGTAGTCTGTGCACTAAAAGAAAATCTACAGAGAGCCCGTGGTAACAGGGTCATGGGGTGACTTAAGCCTTAGAGGAATTTCCTACAATTTGCAAATTTAACTTTTGAAAGAAGGTTCCCTTTACCTCTGACTATGTTCAGATTACAGTCTCATGGTGTACTGTATCACATTTATAGTTAATAGAGTAAAAATCAATTTAGTGTTTATCCTTTCCTTTGATCCAGCACTGTCTAATAGAACATTTTGTGATGATAGAAATATTTCCTTTGCCCCTGCCCCCAGGTTTATTGAGGGGGGGGATGTTATTGACAAATAAAAATTATATAAAGTTAATTATATAGAGTATACATATACTTTGTGAAGTGATTAGCACGATCAAGCTAACTAACTTCTTTATCACCTGACATAATTACTTTGCTACAAGAGTAGATAAACATAATTCTGTAATGGTGCTGTCCAATATCTTAATCCCAAGCTAGATGGAGCCATTGAACTCTTGGCTTGTGGCTGTCACAACTAAAAAAATGTGTCTTTTAAAAAATTTATCAGCTATTTTTAATTAATTTTAAGTTTAAGGACTTGAGACCTTATGAATTCAGAGGCTAGTTCTGGATTATCCACCTTTGTTTGTACCCATGCGGATAGTCAGCTGGCATCAACGAATTAGGACGCTGATTGATTAATAACTGCCACTGTTGTAACCCCCCAAGAGTCCTCCACGGCCTGCTATCCCATATGCCCTGTCCTTTTGCATTTACTCATGATCCAGGACTAAAGGGTTAATGGTCCCCCAGGACCTTACTCTAATATTACAATATGTGTCCATGCTCCTGTAGGTGTCTCCTGTATGCTGATTGGTCATAGTCTATCACCTCTGATCATATGTACAGTATCAACTGGAGTAACCCGTCACAATCCCTCAGCAATTGCTGTATGTAATGATGATCAAACAGGGGGAGGGGTGAGTAGCTAGAATAGACAGATGAGCACATCTCATCTTCAGATGGGATATTGTGTAAGTGGGAGAAATCTTAACTTTAACATTAGGCAGGAGACCAGTCTGGGTTTTCCTGATGTCTCCTTTTTGTTCACTCAATATTCTTCTTCAAAGCTTCCACTTCTTCTTTGAAAGGTCTAGAAGAACAAGCTCCAAACCCATCACTGGATTCTGGTGGAACACAGATTGGTATATGTCTTCACTTCTGTTGGTTGCTTCTGACTCCAAATGCGTAGGACTGGCAATCAGGCCAGACCTCCCAGTCTCTTCTGCGATGCCTAAAGCCATGCTTCAATCATTGACACTATCCTGGCCTTCCTGCACTACTAAATGTTGAATGAGCTTTTGATCTGAGTCTTCCAAGAGCCTTCTTCCCCCACCCCCATTGACATATTGTTACAAGTGGTCTTTTTACTCACAAGCAGGAAATTCTTCCTAAGTAGCCTTCTTACCTAAAGCTACCCTAGATCCCACCCAACAGACTGAAGGGCTAATAGTCTTAAAACACGAATAGCATCTAGTTAGTTGTGCGATACTCTGGTCCCATCCAACACTTCACCTAGCACTTTGTCTTCTCTCCGTGAATCCCTAAATACCTTCTCTTCCAACAAGGTAAGTTGATCTCTTGCTATCCAAATGGCCTTGATTGCCCAACTCCAAGCTCATGGAAGGCTTGGTGTCAGCAGCTGGGCTATCCTTCCCTATTCTTCTAGTCTGTATTTCTGCATAGATCTCTGTTAAGCACCTCCTGATAATGAAGTTTTCTCTGTGCACTTCAGTTCCTCAACTGCCCCCTGTTGAATTAAAAACATAAAAAGCAACGACTAAGCCTAGAAGGTCAACTGCATGACAGTGTTTTAGAATCTGGAGCTTGGTGGGATAGGCAAGAGCACGACAGTATAAGGATGAGTAGAAAGGGAAAGAGCAGTGATTGCATTCCAGGGACGCATTAAAAAGCCAGCAGATGGTCTGAAAATGGAAGTGGCCAGGAGGTTTTAGCTGGAATACAGGAGGGAGAGAGAACAAGAGTGGCAGTGACACAGGGTATTAGTTTAGTAGATAGCTAGGCAGAGGGTGGGTTTGATGCCATCTGCATCTAGAGTCCCATGGTCTAGAAGGGTACACAGATCATAACCTCGCCATGTTGATGCTCGCTGACCATCCAGTGGGCTTTGTCCCTTGACTGTCCACCCACCAACCCACATACTCTCATGGTTCCCAGGTACCCTGTGTGTATTGCTTGTCTCTCTCAGGCTGCAGCACAGCGGAGCTCTACCAAATTGTTTCTTCTTATTGTTTCTTTTTCTGTCTCCTCTCTGCTAGATAGGGAGAAGGAGCTCAGGGATCCTTTATGATAGAAAGAATAGTGTGAGCACGGAAGTGGCGGGGGCGAGAGGGAGAGGAGTGAGATAAGAGAAGAAGTACAGTTCCTTCTGCTTTACTTTTAGGACAGTGAAGGCTAAGAAAGAATGGAAGTTACAGGAAGCCTTGATGACAGCAGGATGCAGAAGCCAGAGTGACACCCCACACCCGGTGCACCCCACTCTCCACTGTTATTCCTTGTGTACAGTCTGTCTCCACTAGACTGGAGGTGCTAGGAAATTGCCACGTGTGGCTTTCTCACTGCTATATTCCAGACACCCATAAAAGTGA